ACCACCTTTGGCTTGTAATTATTGGCTGAATTACTGCACAACGTGTCAGACATCATGACTTTATGCCAAACCAATGTATGCACAATTTAGTTTATGTTCCCAAAGTGACAAAGTGGCTTTGATCTGCAATGGATACGAAAATTGCATTTTCCCATTTTTCTCCATGGCTTCAGAATTTTCATAATTTTTATATTGCAAATGCTAGTACAACATCAGACTCCAAAAAGGGTGGACTTGAACTAGTTTAGTTCCACTGAATGTAATGGGACCTGTCAGCTTAATCAAATACTGTTTAAGCACTGTGGATTAGGCTACTCATTGTTCCAATCTGATTATAAAACCCTCAGTGCAGATATTAGTATGAGAAAGAAATCACATGTTGATTAAAATGTGTATAAATATTTGGATAAGTAAGGGAAAGTGTTGAGTTATAAAAATGAAAGAAGCTCATGTACAGTAAAAGGAAATTATGTTGCCCCACTACAGGAGAAAATATTTTTAAAGTTTCAAATATGTGCGGTTGGGGGGGTTTACAGAATTAGGCAACGCATAACTGCAGTATATTTTGCAGAATCTCATATTCATTACACATTGTCTTTTCAGTTTGGTATCATGCAAAAATGCAGTATCTTTGAGGCTGTATTAGACCTTTTGCACTCATTCTGTCATTGAAGATTTTTAAATCCACCTTTTTCATCATGCCTTAGTGTGACTTGCAAAGGAAGATAAGTCTTGGCCAAATGCCCACCAGCCTAGGGAAGATTGACTGAACGTAATATTTGTTTCTTTGGATAGAGCATAAAATATAGGTTGTGACAATAAATTTGCATTTGAGTGCCAGTAATGGGATGACTCTTCTGCCTTGGCAATAGTTCATGATCAATGCAGATTATAAGTGTGCATTTGCCCATGTGGAACATTATAAATTTATTATTGCTATTTTTGTTGAAGGACATCAAAGGCAGTGGAGGACCTGTTGGGAGACCAGGAAGTTGTCTACCCATTAGCAATAGTCTAATACTTCTTAGAAACCCCCTTCATCTCTAGCCTGTCAAACTCTAGCTGTATAGCTAATGGGGTGGATTAGAAATCAAATAATAGATAGATAGGCCGGTATCAGTGGAACATTGTTTTTGTAATCTGCAATGAAAGTATTGTCAGAGTTTCAATAGACTTCTAAGTTTCTGTAAGTAAAAAAATATAGGAATATATTTGAATAAGCAGGATAATCATTCCCATTCTCAACATTGCACAAATGTTGCTCAGTGGAAAATAATATTATAAACATGTTTGAAAGTAAACACAGTTATACGTTTTTCTCTTTCTTTTATACGCTGGTTTGAGTCCTACTGCAAAGAGAATCATGACTCATCTTAGAATTTCATTTTTTAAAAATATCTACCTGAGACATACACAATTGCTTCAAACAGATTTTAATATTTTTCACAATTGTCAACCATGCTGGGTATCAGTGTCTAACTTAAGTACCAAAAATATTCAGAAGGATGTTTAGCTGAAACTTTATTTTTGAGGACACAACATACCAAAAACCCAAATGTTGATGTCTTTGTCCAATATGTGAAATAATTATACTATAATGCAGCTTAAGGTTGTGAGTAGCCTCCACTGAACAAAGTCAAACTTACTTTTGAGTAAATATGTGTAGGATGGATGGCAGGCCACCTCACTCCCATCTGGCTTTTGTGAATAACAACAATAACACAGGCAAAAACAAACAAGCCATACCAGTATTTATATGCAACAATTAGCAAAGATAAAGGGCAGAATATTAAACATAAATTAGTATATATTAAATATTAGATGTATCAAACATATGTTTAAGTCAGGAGATATAAATATCACCTGGGCTAGTCCTACAGGTAAAGGAGAGAATAGATTAATCCACTGTGGAGTTTCATCTATACAAAGAAAGACAAAGTTATCTGATCCATCCTTTCAAATTCTGTGCCCAGTACCTTACTGTTGAGAGCAAGTATATTTGATGCTGACAAATGCAGATATAAAGCTATACCTCCTGCTCCACATGGGCATCATGACTTTTCATGAAATCCTTTAGTGACTAAGTAGTGGCACCTTCTGAAACTGGGGAGGGGTACTTCATCTACCACCATGGTCTTAGTGTTCTTCAACTTTTCTTCAAATGATTTGGATAAGGTGGTACAAGAAATGCATATCAAATGTCCAAATGACACAAAATTGAGTGGGATAACTAATGCCCCAGAAAACAGAACAAAATTCAAAATGATCTTGAGAGGATGGAATACTGGCCTGAAAACAGCAGAATGAAATTTAATAGGGACCAATGACAAGTTCTGCAAGTGGGAAAAAGAAACCAAATGCGCAGTTACAAAATGGAGGATACTTAGTCCAACAATACAAGTGAGTAGCATCTTATTTAGCTTGAATCACAAGCTAAGTAAGAGTCAGAAAAATTATATGGCTGGGGGAAAAAGGCAAATGAGAGCCAGTGTGGTATAATAGTTAAGAGCATGGGACTGGGACTCAGACGGTCTGGGTTCTAGTCCCTGCTCAGCCATGGAGCCAACTGGGTGACTTTGGGCCAGTCAAAGTCTCTCAGCCCAACCTACCTCACAGGGTTGTTGTTGTGGGGATAAGATGGAGGAGGAGAATGATGTCAGCTGCCTTGAGCCCTTTGTAGGAAAAAGGCAGGATATAAATCGAAAAACAAATAATAAATAAATAAATGCTGCATTAATAGCAGTATCACTTCCAAATCATGTGAGGTACTAGTTCCCTAATACTCAGCACTGATTAGGCTTCAACTTGAGTACTGCATGCAGGCTCTGGGCACCACATTTTAAATAAGAAGGGAGACAAACTGAAAAAGGTTCAAAGGAGGGCAGGAAAGATGATCAAGGGAGTGAAACAGAGCCCTGTGAGGAGCGAATGGAGGCACTGGGCCTGCTTAACTTCAACAAGAGAAGACTGAGGAGATATGACAGCACTCTCATATTCTATAGTTCTATGATTTACAGTTGTTTTATATTTTATCTCTCCTTAAAGCAGTATAGTGCACAATTTTGCCATAAAATCTGAATAATTTTGATTGCTGTGCTTATATCTGTGACTGACAAGGTTTTACCATTAATTACCATTCTGAATGTTTTTTAGAAATGATTTACCAGCTGTATTTTTATGATCATATATGGTATGATTGTTATCTTGCACACCATTTTTGTACATTTGGCAAAATTATGGGATTCTGCTATTAAATATTATGTTGAAAAAATATAGTATTGCACATATTTGAGGCAAACATATCTTCTCCAGAATCTATGCTTTTCTCTCATGGAGCTACATCTGAAAATGCTTCCCCTTCTTTTGCAAAACACTTCACAACATTATATCCATGTAGTAGACTGAGGTAGACCTTTGGTTGGAAATGATTACTATTAAATAGTTCCTGACAATATCTTTCCCCTAAGATATAATTAAATAATATCTTCTTATAAGATGCCATTGAATAATAAAAAATGTAATTGTGGAACAGTACAGTCTGTGCATGCAGCCTGGACCTGTGCATATTTACTCAGAAGTAAGCATCATTATATTTAATGGGGGGCTGCTCTGTGGCTTTAAATGTTTTATCCTCATCCACAGGGATGAATGCAATTTATTTGACAAGCTATTTTAGTGACAAATATTCAGGTCTGTGTTACACTAAACTCCTTCAGGCACAACTGAAAGATGAATCATTCTCAGCTATAGAACAGGTTTACTTTTCCTTCAAATTTATATTTATTTATTTATTTATTTATTTATTTAATATCCTGCCTTTTTCTTCCTTAAAGAACTCAAAGTAGCTTACATCATTTTCCTCTTATCCCTACAGCAACAACCACCCTGTGAGATAGGTTGGACTGAGAGTTTGTGACTTGCCCAAAGTTACCCAGTTGATTCCATGGCTGAGCGGGGACTAGAACCCAGACCTCCTGAGTCCCAATCCCATGCTCCTAAACACTGTACCACACTGAGTCGCTGATACTGCATTTGTGATGTAAGGCACAATACTATGCATGTTAGACAGAAAAAATGCCTTCCATTTCTTAACATTCCCTAGCTAGCATGGTTGACTAGGAAATGCATCTTTTCCTGTCTAAACATAGCAACAGTCGAATCCTTAATGGCATCTTAGTAGATTAGTTTAGCTGATCATTCTTATTTGAAAAGTACCCTGGGAATATGGTTTACTATAGTTGGTAGAAAATGTATGTAATAATAAATAGACAGACAGACAGTAACTTTATAAGAAAAATATAGCATAACAAGCAACATATTCTTGTATAATAGGACAGCTTACAAAAGCTTTTAATTATAAATAAATAAATTGTGTGTGTGTGTGTGTGTGTGTGTGCGCGCACCATGTTACCCACCTTAGATAGTGGCACCTTTTTGGGGGAGGGGGATAGATAGCATTATTACAGGTAGTTTCAAAGGTGACATACATACTAAATTATGTTTTACTACCGGTAGTACAGTGCCAATTGTGTTAACTGGCTATTGGCATTGCAATGGAAGTCCTTTACACTAACTCAATGTAATTTACATTAATGCATGTCTCACATAGGATACTTCCCTATTTATTAAAAAATATATAAACTTAAGCTGCCTTCTAGGCTTAACCTTTCCAAGCTGGCATATAAATATTTTTAAAACCATGAAAGATACTAAACCAGTAGTAACAACAATAAAACAAGATGTCCTTCTTCAGTATGTTTGTTTCAAATAGGCACATAGAACATGGAAAATAGATTTTTTCCTATATATAAGAATGCATGGAAGGATCTACTTTATTCCTTATGCACCCACCCATTTTTTTCCTGGAGCCATGTCAGGCATTTTGTTTACAAGATAGAACCCATGGGATACAAATCTTAAAATAAATTTTAATATACAGTGGGTTACAAACAGCTTTCCTGTACCAGTAAGTGTTTACTAAAGTGCCCTTCTCTTTTCAGTTGCAGCCTGAACAGTTGGACTGCGGAGCAGCTCACCTCCAGCATCCATTGTCAATCCTACGACCTGTCACAGCAAGGCCAGTGTTCACCTCGCCCGGCCTCACATCAGTGGCGGTCTCCAGTGTCAATAACTACACTGTTGTATTTCTCGGAACAGCCAATGGAAGACTGCTGAAGGTAAGAGTGTCAGGGTTTGAAAGAGTTAATAAAGCATCTAATGGCCTTCACAATTAATAATAAAATATAGAATCTTTGAACCCCTTTGTGGCCATGCTGACACCTTTTGAAAGCTGTTGTTAAACTGCCATCTCAACTTTATTTGACTATCATACATAGCAGACAAGGTCAGACTGGCTCACTTCCTGAATGGGTGACTGCCAAGGAGTCCAAAAGCCAGAAGAACATGGTTTTAATGGTTCAGCCTCCTAATGTTATAAGACAGTGAATTAGTAAAGTCATGATTGTTTGGAGAAGAAATAGGTGAGAGCTTGCGGTTGTTGAAGACACTGAAGTTTCTTACAAATAGTAGAATTGCTAATTTAAGCACATTGACTGGCTACCCTTTTTTCAACTGTTCTTTCTAACTCCAAAATTCCTCAAGCTCTTCCATAGCATGCAGAGTAATAGAATTATCTGACTGTTTCTCTTGAAATAACCAAATTTCAGTTGCATCTTCCACCAACTCCCTCTTTGCTCCAAACTGCTGATTAGTGCTGTTTAATGTGCTATCAGTGCTAAACTGTAAATAAGCGCTGAATGCTATGCTTATCTCAAACATTCATTATCTGACATGTTCAAGTCCAGCTTGTCTGTTAATCAGAGTTCTTCAGTGGTGTTTGCTTTCCATATCAACTGGTCTTTTATCTCTTAGGTGGCTGTAGGTATATTGTGAAGTCTACTGAAAGACATTTAAGTATGTGAAATCTCTATATGGGTTGCAAAATATGAAGCACTGATAGGATTGTCTGAGCAATCTTGGATAGTAGTTGTGACAGATCCTCTCGACAGTAGAAGGGAATGAATCTTATAGAAAATTCAGTCATCGTGACTGGCCTGTCCATTGATCATCCAAGCAAGCAGGAGGCCTTTTATTCACACTGACATAACCTTGCACTCATCTGACCCTAGTGTTGCCACATGTCCTTGCCCACACATGCATTTTGACATGTAATACATACATGCGATGTAGAATTCAAATGGAACCTACCAGGGATGTGCAGCATACATGGTGGATTTCTGCACTAAACTGGGGAATAGGTGCTACTTCACTCTCACACACTTAAATTGGGGAAATCATGTCATACACTTTCACTAGATTCAGAAGAAACAAAACAAGATTTATTTTTACAAAGATTACTCGCAAACTCATAGATGTGCAAATACTACAGTGAAGAAAAATGACTTCATTAGCACCACCTCCACCCCCCCCCCCCCATTTGCAGGCAGAATACCTGTTCCGTGACTTATTTATTTATTTATTTATTTATTTATTTATTTATTAAAACATTTTTATGCTGCCCCATTCGCCGAAGCCTCGGGGCAGCTTACAACAATATTTATTATATTTACATCCCACCGTTTTTCCTTTCAAGGAATTCAAGACAGCTTATATATTCTCCTCCTCCTGCTTTCAGCCTTTTCCCTCAACAACAATCCTGAGAGGTAGGTTGGGCTGCAAGTTTGCAACTGACCCATAGTCACCAAGTTTGCTCCATGGCTGAGTTAGGACTAGAACCTAGTGTGACTGAGTCCTAGACCACTTTTAATCACTACACCACAATAGCTCTCTACACCACATTCTAACTCTATGAGCCTTAAGAACAACTGCTCATATGCTTGATACAAGTCCCCACAGGGTACCAAAATGCAAAGAATTGGCAGGCATACCCACGCCATGTATGGCCTTGAATTCAGAGAGTGCGTGACTCCTTTTTTCCATATTTTGATCTTGGATGCACCTCAGACTTATCTTCTTGAGACAAACTCCTTGCCTCGTAATACTGTGTTTTGGCCATTGCCTATATCTTGAGCACACTGATGCCATGCTGGACTGAAACCTTTGTGCTTGGCTCTTTGCCTACTTAACTTGCTTGTCTACTGGATTCAGGCCTATATTTACCAAGCACGGAGACTCACCTAAGCATAGCAGAATATCTGTAACATAGGAGAAGACTTTACAATTGCCTAAAGTGTATCTCCAAGCAGAACTGTGCTACACATGGTGGACAAGGCAGGAGATGTTGATTCTTGATGGCTGCCACCCATAAGTGTCAGCTGACAGTGGGGAAGGTGGGCAGTTCTGCTGTTTTAGATAGAACAAGTGCTGGTGGGCTGAACCGGCATGGGAGCCTTTAGTGGAGGAAATTGCACTCTCCCAGTAACGAGAAATCAGATCTTATCAATCATTATGCCATCACTCTAAGCAAGTTCTTCTAGGAATCTGTGAAGCACCTTCACTATAAAAATAGATCTTGTCTAGCTGCTATGCAAGGTATCGGATAACAAGTACACAGCATAGCTACCACTAGACTACAGTTGATCCATGCTGGAGTATCTTTGCTCCCTGGTCATTCAGCGCTTCTATCCTTCCTTCAGTGCTCCCTTTAGCCCTGGGTGAAAGCGGCTCTTGTGCCATGGCTTGGTTGTGCTTCCTGCAAAGTGCTACCCTAGATGATTGCTTGAGTGAGCCTGGTGGTAAAGCACATTGACAAGGCCTAATTGTGCTGATACAGCATACTTGATCATACAAATGGTGATCAAAAAATTAGAATTAATGCTTGAGAAATGTATAACTTGTATCTTGAGCCAGGGTTCTGTTCACTTAACAGGAAAAAATCATCACTTGACAAGCTTACTGCAAGAGGCTTTCATTCTTCAATAAAGAAGCAACTGGATATTGCTTTAAGCTGTATAGTAATATACAATATCTACTAATTCTTAACTTTTAATCAGCATTTGAGGCTACAGTGTAATCAAGATGTCATTTAATATATTGTAGAAATAAATGCCTGTACTTGAAATTTTATTGCACAGCTTTTAGTTATTAACAATGACCTCTTATAAATTGTTACTTGTCTTGATTGGTACTTGTAAAAAGCACACAAGCACACACACTTGCTCAGATGCATCCTCCACTTGGACTAAATACTTCCTGATTGGTCCTTACTGTTGCAGAACTGCAGAGGAGGCATGAATCCATGATATGCCTGTTTTATCTATGTTGAAACAATACATCAGGGGCCAGGATTTAAGGCAGGGTAAATATCTCCAAGCCAGGAACAGCCACCAGCTGCCATAATCCTAACATACAACTCTTGCTGGAGAAAGAGTTTGATATCAGCCAATCACAGTAGCCATTCGGTGTATCTTCTGCAGTGGCAAGTACATAAGTAGATGTCACCCATCAAGGAAAAACATGACTAGAATCTGCTTTGTATCAGTCTGGAGATAGTAATGCATAGCCTAGAGTATTAGATCAGAAAACAGGGAGAGGATAGGAGGAATCCAATTTCTGTCAATGCTTTCCAAGACAGGAAGGTGGGAAAGATATCTGATGTTCTGTGGTTCAGTATCTGCCTAGAGGCATGGGTTATGCAACAGAGTGCTGGGCAACCTGACATGAGAGTTAGCTACACAGGGCAGCGGGTGCAGAGACTTTCCTCATACAGCCTGCATTCGCACAATAGTAGCCAGTTCTGCCTACATTATCATATCAGAAAAGGCAGTCTTATCTGCTGAACCTCCATTAGAGAAATGCTCTTGGCTGTTCTTGCTGGAATAATTTGCTCAGATAGCTATAATCTAATTCTACTACACAGCTGCAGAACCAGAAGCTTTCTTTCTTTTCCTTTTCCTTTTTCTTTTACCTTGGGGGCTCCTTGTTACTTGGCATGGAATACAGAATACTTGGTATGAGTTATAATTCAGGTTTCCTATCCAAGACAAGACAGTAAAAGGGGCAAAAGCAATTCAGCCAGTTCCCCAAGCAGCAATTATGATTTCCTACCACATAGGGAATTAATCTGATCTGGTAAATTAGAAAGTGTGCCTCAGAAGGGCATTTTACAGGGGCCATTTTCAATGGCACATTCAAAAGATTCATTAAAGTTAAAAGCAAGAAGTGTAAAGCAGCAATGCTTCTAGTGTTGTGTTAAAAGATGGCATAGCACAATATTAGAAGACAGCTTTTTGGACACAAGCTAAGGATGCTGTCATAACTTTTTGTTAAACTTTGCCTAGTTTAACCAATCCGCTAGCTACTAGTTCTGATCTAAGATACCACAACATTTCTTTGGCAGTCTCTACTGTCATGGTGGGCCTGCCTTAAACAAAGCTCTGCTAGCCACAAACTTTGCCTTTTTCTCCTAGGCTTTCCACCTTGACAGTTACTACTGAGAAGAAAATGAGAGAAGTTAATTAAGTTAGTTCCTGCATGGATTTCACAGACTTTGAATGTCATTGTTCTTGCAAAAACTTGATTGTTCTTGATGGTGTTCTCCAGGAAAAGTCCACCTTATGTAAATTCTTCAGTTTAAAAGCTGATTTGATGGGTTTTTATCATGAAATATAGAAACATGCTATGAAAAATATCAGAGGCCCACCTGATCAATGAATATGACTTTCAAGTTTCTAATGTCTCCTTTCCTTCTCTTTCTTCTTCTTCTCAAAACCTACAAAGTTGGTGATCTTATGAAATGTTTCCCTTCCTTACAGATTAATCTGAACAGTTCCATGGAGTTGATAAGCAGGGAATCAATTACTGTGGCTTACAGTGAGCCTGTCCACCCCATCATGCAGTTTGACCCTTCTGACTCCAGCTACCTTTATCTAATGACTTCCCATCAGGTAGGGTTGCTTCACAAACCTGTCTTCTTAGTACCATGAGTTGAGAAGAAGTACAGAAGAATAACAATATTCTGGGTACCTGCAGCAATAAAAAAGTTGTAGAATTTAATTTTGACCAGTTATTAGGTTTGGTCCAAACTCTTTCTATATTATTTATACCTAAGAGCTTTCATAACCATAGAGTGGCTATATCAAAACTTTTTTACAAAATGCCTGGAGAAATCAATGGTTTTGCAATGACTGTCTTCTTTAATATCTTTGTACTTCTATTATGGATAAATCATGAAAAAGCAAAGGCAACTCTTTACCGGACTTATTGCAAATTTCTCAGTCTAGTTCCTGATGCTGTTCTCTTTGAAAGTTTATGATACTGAAGATTATACCACTCTGAGTCAGTTCCTGCTGCACTGTTCATTCCATATTTGAATTTTCCTGATTGCTAAAAGTTGTGCTATATTTGTTGGAGAGATGGAAGATTTGTTGAACCCATGGATAGGAAAAGCAGACAAGAAATTATTCTAGGTATCATTAAATGTGTAGCACAATTTTGTTTGAACTCAAAAGTGGTGAATATTAGGAATGGTTCTCAGTTTACATTTGATTCTGTGTAACCAATTATATGCTATAATGCGTAAGAGATAACTATCCAAAATAGAAAGAGTTCTCTTGTTGCGTAATTACTGCTTTCCTGCTGCCTGTAAACTGCCCAGCTAAAGAGAAACTAAGCTTGCAGGTGCTTCAAGCATCAATGGTCTAACTTTCTTCCATTTTAATCTACAGAAACAGATGTGCAATCAATTATTCTGTACTTAAATTCTCCAGCTGTAGTTCACTTCATTCTGGGGCCTACAGAATACCATTTCCACTGTACAGATTTCTTTTGGGGATAGTAGATCATGTTTTTGCTGCATGCCATAAACATTTCAGATTGCAAAAGTTTACCTAGTGCAGGACTTAGTGTTCTGTCACCAGCATTAAATCTACAGGGTATGAACTGATAAAATTTCTTTCTTTGCTGGTTAATCTAGTTTTGTTTCTACCTCGCAGCCTACTCCAAGTGATATTTAGTTTGGGGGACATTTATCTTATACAAGTGTGGACAGTGCTCTGAACAACAAGATTAAGTTTTTCTTAACATAAATAAGCCAGGGCTAAGGTTTGAAATGACATGATGTAGCATGATATAGCAACTTTGTTGAAGCTGTACAGGTTTGGATCCCTTCATTAGCATTTTAAATATTACTAGAAAGATGTAATATAATTACAATTAATAAACAAGAGGAAAACCTAACCTTGAAAGTATGATTTACAAATTGTGAATAAATATTGGCTGGTTGTTTAGGACAATCCCACACCTGCAGAATTCCCTGATTGGCTAATTTCACATTGCCAGATGAATCTTCATTTATTGTGAACTGATGCTCAGAAAGTACAATGATAGCCTTCCGAAAGCATAACAGTGATCTCTCTCTCCAGGCACCCTGTTTGTCTAATGACTAGTATGGAGTGTTTGCATGTTATGGTGGGCCACTGGCATACTCTGTTGGAGTACAAGCCACCCTAAAACTTTGAGCTGATGGAGGTGGTTGTTGGGGTTCCCCAGGCTGTTGGTTCTGAGGGATTTCAACATTCATGCTGAGGGAACCCTATCTGACTCAGACTTTCATGGCGGCCTTGAGAGTGTTTCAACATTCATTGGCCCAACACATGTAATGAGGCATACTCTAGACATGGTGTTTATAGCCAGATATGAGATTGGTAATCTGAGGGTGGACACTCTAGGAGACTTTCCAGATGATATGGAGCCATTCCAGTCTGGTTTCAGGCCCAGCTATGGGACTGAAATTTCCTTGGCTGCCCTGTATGATGACCTGTGCAGGGAGAGACACAGGGTGAGTACATCCCTGTTAGTTCTCCTGGACCTCTCAGTGGCTTTCGATACCATCAACTGTGGTATCCTTCTGGATAGGCTAGCAGGACTGGGAGTAGGAGGCACTGCTTGGCAGTGGTTCCGCTCCTACCTCGACGGCCGATTCCAGAAGGTGGTGCTGGAGGACTATGGCTCTGCGCCATGGCAGCTTTGCCATGGAGTTTCTCAGGGTTCCATTCTATCCCCATGATTTTCAAAATCTACATGAAACCACTGGGAGAGGTCATCCTGGTGTTTGAGCTACGGAGTCACCATTATGCTGATGACACCCAGCTCTACCTCTCTTTTAGATCTAATCCAGGTGAGGCACTGGCTGTCCTTAACCGGTGTCTGACCGGTGCGATAGGCTGGATGAGGGCCAATAAATTGAGGCTTAATCCAGACAAGACGGAGGTCCTGTTTGTAGGCAGTTCAGATTTCTGGGTAAGTGATTTTAGCCCTGATCAGGACAGGTTTGCACTCCCCCTAAAGGACAGGGTGCGCAGTTTGAGAGTGCTCCTTGACCTAGAACTGTCCTTGGAGTTCCAGGCAGCTGCTGTGGCAAGGAGTGCTTCCCTTCAGCTTCGGCTGACTCATCAACTGTGTCCTTACCAGGATGAGCAGAACCTAGCAACAGGGACCCATGCTCTGGTAACCTCCCAGTTGGACTATTGTAACACACTTTATGTGGGGCTGCCCTTGAAGATGGTCTGGATACTGCAGTTGGTTCAGAATAAAGCAGTTAACAGGGACTGGCAGATATGCACATTTAACGCTGGCCCTTTACCATCTACGCTGGCTACCAATTGAAATACAGGCCCAATTTAAGGTGCTGGTGATGACCTATAAAGCAATAAATGGCTTAGGATCTGGATATCTGAAGGAATGCCTGCCCATCCCTTAAGATCTGGGTCAGAGGTCCTTCTTCAGGAGTCCTCACTGAGGGAGATAGGGAGAGTGGCTGCCCAGAGAAGGGCCGTCTCTGTGGAGGCATCCTGGTTATGGAATACGCTCCCCAGAGAGGTTTACCTGGTGCAAACACTTTAGACTCTGATAGGGTTGGGAAGAACCCTAGGAGATTCCATCCCTTTCATATTTTCAGACTTCCTTTGATGCATCACCTAATCTTGGAGTCTTGGCTGAGCCAAGAGGGTTTGTCAATGTTGGCAGAACAAATTGCAAACATTTGTGCAACTGGCAGTCTTCTTCTGGATCAAGCGATCAGCACAAAAGCAGGTGGCACAGGAAACGGCTGCTGCTTGTGTAGTGGTCACATGGGGCTCCATTCCCAACAAACCCCACCTGACCAACTGAGGGTTGTCTTAGGCAGATTGAGCCCAAGCAAAGATTTTGTTTTAGTATTGTGCCAGTATCTTGTTGTGGGCTCAAAATTGTGCTTCTTCTTCTTCTTTTTTAAAGCTAGGTTTGATAGGACTAGTTTCTTAAGCTGTGTAGCGGCTCCTCATAGTACAGCACAGGAAAAGATATCAAAGTAGGCTAAAGTCAAATCTTAGCAATTCTGTGTAAGTTACCTAATTAATGTATCTTTGTGAATCCATTTGTTGATTACATAGGAGTCCATGTTAACAGATGAATGCATCTCTGAGTCTGATTCCTTAAAGATTGCTGCTACCTTGGATTTTCTTTGTTATACAGATTGCCCGTGTGAAAGTAGCTGCCTGCAATCAATACGCTACGTGTACGGAGTGCTTGGATGCAGCCGATGCATATTGTGGATGGTGCACACTGGAGACCAGGTAAAATACTTTTGGGCACTATTGATAGACCTATCGATAGACCTATTGATAGGATGGCCTCTCACTGCAGGATGGCCAGCCTTGTCATGTTTACCACTCTGTCTCTTCTCTTACAACAATATTAGGGCTGTTGACACAGTTTTCAGCAGCATTTCTAATTTTCACAGCTTATTTTGAGGCAATAGTTATCTTGGCTAAAATCTAAACATTTAAAAGGAGTCTGAGGAACAGTATGTCAGCAATTTATAGTTTTTCAGAAGGATAACTTCAAAAACATAATTGTTTATGTAAAAGAAATTCAGCAGTTAAAACTGTATCCTAAAAATAAGCAGTGAGACAACATTGGATTTAACAAAAATAAAAAGTGCATTCTGCAATCAAAATCAGTAAAAATGTATAATAATTTGGGTTTATAATATTCTATCATAAAATATTCTGCCATTTATATTATTGCACCATTATTTTATTATAAAATAGATGCTCCATGAAGATACTTATCAAGGTCCGTTTGAAGTAGCTTCATTTAAATCAAAATAGGAAAATTTTAGCAAATAGTTAGGAAAATTTCTGTGATCATTCATGACTACCTGAACATTAGTCCGATACAGTCATTTCACTCATTTAAGAGTCAACATAGCACCAAGGACTGCATCATGAGGCTTTCTAATTTTTACGTGTCAGTTATAGTGTCTACTATTACCATGAGCTTCTTTCTTTGGGAAACAGAATAATGTTAGAGCTTTACTGAGCGTCTGTTGGCGTGTAATCCATATACTCTGCAGTGTATATTACATAGTCTATCTATTACAAAGCCTGTATATTACATACCTGCAAATATGAAAATAACATTGGGCCAAGACTTAGAACCAAGAAAAGCCCAGTGACTTATAGGACGGAGCTGAGGGTTCCAAGTGCTGATGTGAAGGTGCAATCCAGTTTCCTGCTTTGTTGATCAGCATGGCTGTCTCTTAGCTGTGCCTTCAGTCGTAGTGTCAGTAGTAACAGTATAGGGTTTATTGCAGTCCTTAACCCTGCTGCCAATGCCATCACCGCCAGAGTCTTTGAATGGCATATCTACCCTAGTCCTGACCTGGATACCAACAATCTCTGTCTTCCTGTCATTGATAATGCTGCCACAATCTAAAAGTCAGTCATTACTGCATCTTTCAAATTACGTGCTTCTTCACCAGTTATCATCTACAATCAGCATCCATCTCAGAATTGGTGGGCTTTTGATCACCCAGATGGAGAGGATTATGTGTTTGAACAACCCCTGTATCATGCAGTAGAGATGACTGATGCATTTATTCAGAACAAACTTCCTTGAAGTTTGGTCATACACTATGAAGGAATAGTCATAAGCGGACAACTCTGATGGAAGAAGAGCAAGAAAGTGTGATTGCTAACCCTTTTTAATCTACCAGGCACACTAGCCGCTCAAATATCCAACTTCCAGTTGTGCAGAGTAGATGAGGCATCTATTTTCTTTTGTGCACTCCCAGCAGATCCAAAGAAAGAGGCTGAACTCTTCCATGTGGAGGCATTCCTACTCTCCAGACAATGGATCAATACCACTCTAAATATGCCAGGCTACAACTCTGACATGATGTCTCTAAAGAAACATGCATAGCTGTATGCAACTGTCCTACAACCCAAGAATCCAAAGTTCTGTGTCTCTGTGCTCATGGACTATTGACAGGCACCATATACACCCTCATTCTCCAATGAAATTCTCTGAAAAATTGATAAACCTTTGTCTCATGCTTAGACATGTGTCATGTTTGCACTCAGTTGCAATCTATTCACAAGCTATATGCTTGAATGGATCTAAACTTGGTTAGGGTCACTCAGTTTCAGAGGGATATTTCAGACCTGAAGGGGAAAACTTCCATGTTGAAGTACTTCTGGGAGTAATAAAGAGTCTCTGCACCTCTCTCAGGTGGAAGGGCTTTTCCAACTCAACCATAATCTGCTTTTCAACAGTAGCTTTATGCTGTTACAATAGAGTATAACAGCATACAGCTGAAAAGATGTCTTCATAGGAAACAGGCTAGAGCATAGTAAGAATAGTCAAGACAGAACAATCAATTGACTTTACTAGAACAATATGTTTATTTTAAGATAAGATGAAACAGAAATAGACTATCTGAAATAAAAGACAACAATTGCATAGCTAGCTGATACATTACCTCCTCTGAGGATGTAAAGCCAACCGGCTTCAAAGGCTTTGTTTCCTGTTTCTTTGGGTTGGAGAGTCAATTTCTCCATATTAGCCATAGGGAAGGGTCCTAGTTAGAAAAAGTTAGGGAAGAAGATATAAAGTACGGAGCATTCCTAAACTTTGTTTCTTGTGCACTTTGTTGTTAAATCTCTGACTTGCTGATATAATGAAGATCAATGTATTCTTTGTATTTTTATATTTAATGGTAATTTATTATGTACTATTGTATTTCAATGTATTTTATCATGTTGTAAGCCGCCCCGAGGTTTCGGCAAGGGGCGGCATAGAAATGCTATAATAATAATAATAATAATAATAATAATAATAATAATAAATAAAATGAGTGGTAGTAAAATGGCAAATATGAGGATTGCTTCAGTTCTGTTCTTCAGTAGAATAATGAATTCTTTTACAAATGTAATATCATAAATGTTTTTAATTTTAGGTGTTCACTGCGACATGAGTGTGCAAAATCTGAAGAGCCCTATTTCTGGATAAGTGTAAGCAAGGGAGTACAACAGTGCCCTTCAATGACCATTATGCCCTCGGAAATTAACATTGAGAAGGAGAACAAGGTATGCCAAGCAGGATTTGCCTTTACCTAGATCTCATTTGTGATGAGTGGGATTTGTTCTACGTAATTATGGTTCACTTTGCTATGTTGCTGAGAACTGAGATCAAATTGGTCTCTCAGCAATGGTATTTTCCTCTATTGGATTTTTGGAATTTTTACTCAAGGTAAGGGGTATAGCACACACTAGTAGGACATGTGTTTTGCTTGCAGGAGGTCTAGATTCAATCCACGGTACAGTATCTCCAAGCAGGGCTAGAGAAACTCCTGCCTGAAGCTGGAGACTCCTTGCTAGTTAGTGCCAGTTCATTCAAAATATTTAACTCAAGGAACTAAATAGTCTTTGGGCATATAATTCCATGCAAAAGAAACCATGCTATTAAAGCTACCCCTGTCTTGGAAACTCTGTTTGGTCCATAATATTCAGACCAAATGCAAAGTTAGCACAAGAAAAAGCATATATGTAATGTGATGGCTGAGAACAGGCCTGAGTCTTAAAGGGCTGCAAACCAGCTCAAAATCTGGCTACAGGTTCAAGCTGGTAAAAAATAGATACATTAAATATACACTGCAATTCAAACATTATTTTAATTTTCAATGTTGAGATTATTTATGATTCTTTTGCAGTCATTTGCTACATCATTTTTCTAGTCTTCCTCACAAACAACTAAAGTGTCTCTTCTAGGACTAGAGAGCTCCAGTTTCTTGGCTCTAGTGAAAATCTTAAGTGGGAAATGTTAGCCTAAGAACACATCTATTCTTTCCTTTTTATTAGAATCCATGCAACAATTTTCCTAGGTTTTCAGAAATAAAACCAAAACTTCTTCAGTTTGCTATACAAGATGACCAGGGTGACCTCTATGCCTACCGGTGGGAACTACCTTATTTTTTCTGTTTCCATTATCCTGGTTCCATACTGGAAAGCTGCAACAGCAGAGTCAACAAGGTTGCATTCCACCTCCTCTCCCACAATTACAGTAAGCAAGGCCAAAACTTTGCCCATGCAGAATGATGTCTCCTGCTGTGATTTGTACCATTCCTCATTCTCTTTCTTCATTGGTTCTAGAACAATTTGTTAAACTGGCTTGTTAAATCATGTCCTTCCAGTATACAAATCTTTTCACTACTCATAGAAGTTATTTTTAAATCCTAATTTTTATTTGTATATTGTTATCGTTGCCTATTTTCCTGTGCACTGATTTAAGTGCTTCTTTAAAAATACTATACAGTGATTTGGTTAATTTGTTTATTTAATACAATTACTACACTACTTTTACCCCAAAGTGAGATAGCTCTTTTAACTTCCATTTTCAAAATATCACGTTGCGAGTTACAATAAAATAAATTTTTCAAGTTCCATTCTTCGCTTGTAGCAGCAAAGGGAAAATACATGAAACAAACAATTTGGCACATGAAGAAACAACAAGGATGATCCTGTGCACTTCTACACAAGCATAAATCATGAAGGTTTGTTCTGCATTGTGGTGCAGGCAACTGTAACCAATTAGGGAACATTAGCAAAAATGGGCAAATTCTATTCCTCGCACAAGTGAAATGCCTTCCTCAGAGAATTCAAGTAAGTAGGTGCAGGATTGCACAGGATTTCTCCTCAATCCTGTTTGCAATTATATCTCATTTAACTTAGTGGCACAGTCTTCTGAGTATATAACTGTGCATAGGGTTGAACTCTGGTTGGTTAACTGGATTTTGAGACTGAGTGCAAAAGAATGGCCCACCAGAAGGGCACAAAATTAATTGATTTTCAGGGTCATTAGGCGAGCTCCCCCTACACACACTATTTCAGGTATCGTAGGACAAATGATCTTTCTGATTCGTGTTCACCAGGTAATAGGAAGACTCAGAGAGTAGTGGCATAGTATGTTTCATTAATTCCCTACTACTAGGACTGCGTTATTTTATATCAACTGCAGTTCCATGATTCTTATGCAAGCAGAGGACTTAAAACTTGCATGGCTGCTTTGTTGGATTTAGAAAAAAATGTTGGTTTCCTTGCTTCAAAAGAATAAAGTGAGGGGGTTTTTTTCATCTAGAAAATAAGTAGCTTTTTGTAAAATGACCAGGGAAAAACTAGTTTACTGTTCAGATTTTCCTATCCTTCTCTTTTGTCCTATTACTTTGTGGCCTGGCATTGCATATGTTTTATGCTTATGCCATGGAAATTTGCATTCTCTTCTTCTCCAGTCTGTGTTAAAAAACTGAGTGGAATTAGAATGCCATAAAATGCCATTCAATCCCATGTTGGATGGCTGAAGCAGAAGCTTTGGCAGCAGAACTCTTTGCTAGTACCATGGGGACCACAATGCCAGGCTTGAACAATCAGAGAAACCTTGGTGAAGACTGGGAACCACAGAACAGGCTGTCGTTTCTCACTGTAGTTTCTAAAAACCAAACGTATCTGCCCATGGTTTGAAGATTTGAGGGTTGTCTGGGGTTACCTAACAGGTAAATTAGGTCCTGGTGGGCTGTTATGCTGCATGAACCAGATCAATAGGTAGGGAGATTAGGCCTTTCCTTTAATTATTAGGAGGGCTGAGTCTGCCTGGTTTATTTCAACTGCAGCACGTAAGCCTTCTGATCACAGAGCTTGGAGTTAAAGCCCAGAATGATATAACCTCTGAGTAAAAGTTATATTAGTTCAGTCATATTTTATATATATATTATTTCCTAGACCACCAAGTCAGTATAATTTAAATTTACTGTAGTACTAACTTTTTTTGTTCATACTTAGGGCATGATAATTCAAATAAATGGGAATATTCCAAGTCTGAATGGAATGGAGATGTCTTGTGATTATGGAAATGATATCCGAACTGTAGCTAAAGTACCTGCATCATCTTGGAACCAAATTGTTTACTGCAATTTTCCTCCCAGAGAGAAATATCCAGCTTTCCCACCAAATCAAGGTTTGTAACAAATAACAAAGTTGGTGCACTAAAAAATATTGGGCGTGTGATATTGGCCTTAAGGATGAAACATTATTGGAGGCAGAGTTACTCTTATTTATATTTATTTAATGAAATTGAGTTGTTACAATCATGAAATGTTTAATTAACATTTATAGCATTTAGGATTATTTGCCAGTTTGCATTGTGACTGTTGCCAAGGGGGTATACCGTTTTGTTTACTGCCTCGTGTGATTTAGACACAATCCTGTGTATTCTAGGATTAAAAATCTCCATGTTCCCTTTTGGAAAGAACATTTTGTTGTCCACAAAAGTAGATTTGGTCCTGGCATGCTCAATGGCCAATCAAGCACTCCAGGGGTGTGAGGTGGAAAAAGCTTTACTCTGTGCAAAAAGTCTCCATGTACAAAGTAGGCAAAATGGAGCCCCGAGGAAAAAAAGAACAACTACCCTTTTATCATCCTTTACAGGAATGTAAACAAGCACTAACTCTTGTCATCGAACTGCCTCCTTCCTAAGCACATGCATGGGCACATCCAGAGCGGAACTCTGGTCTGCACTTCAGTTTGATCCCAGAAGTTCTACATTTTTATTATATTAACACACACAAAAATAATTAGTGTCTTTTAAATGCACAAAAACCAATATAATGACTATGTTTATATTGTCTCAGCCTACTCACAGATCTGCTTGCTTGCTTATTTATTTATTTATTTATTTCGGAGACTTATATGCCGCCCCATTCGCTGAAGCCTCGGGGCGGTTTACATCCATAATAAACTCAATAAATAATATAAATTAACAGTATAAATTAAGTCGCCCTGGCCAAAGAATAAAATAAATACTATTAACAATTAAAATGACATTTGAATAAAAAGATCTTCGCCTGGCTCCGAAAAACAAATAACGACGGCACCAGGCGAACCTCTCTGGGGAGTGAATTCCATAGATTGGGCGCCACTGCAGAGAAAGCCCAATCTATGGGCTTGCACGATATGACAGCCCACCATTGCTTAGTCTACCAACAGGTGCTCTTGCATTATGCCAAGCAACCACTGGTGCCATTTCTGCATGGTGCATGCTATGTGGAGTGGTGTGAAGCCAGACGGCGGGGGTTATTTGAGGCAGACCAGACGGCGGGGGTTATTTGAGGCAGAGACAGCCTTCAGATAACCCCTGACTTGTTTTAATATTTGAGGGTAGGCAACAACTCCTTTCACTTCAATTCTCCTCATGTGTTATGGCAAGCCAAGTGCCTTCAGAGAACATGTAAAAATGGTGACTGTGGATTCCTGGGACAATACAGGAATCTCTGCTGGTAAATTAAGCCATCCTGGGCTGCTCTAACGTGCAAATAGGCTCAGTGACTGAAAGTGCAAACAGAGACAAAAGATTATGGGCTGCAACCACCAAAATGTTGCCTCAAGTCTCATTGTTACCTGAAACAATAAGTAGGACAAAATGTATTTAGACCTATGGCTGCTTCCGGATGTTCATTTTCTGTGGAATCACCCTGCCTTGTTCCTCCCCTTTTAAAGGGTTTTTTTTCTTTTAGCATGGCAAGAGATCTGTTGAATTCCCCAGCATGTCTTTGAGACATTTGTATTACAGCTCACAATCTCCTCATGAATTTACATTGGCCTGGGAAATACTGAGCTGTGATTCTGGCACATCTTAGAGTACCTACAGGACCAGTTGTGATGAAAATTGCATCAATTAAAAGTGGGGTCATCTGGTGGTACGGATTTCATTTGGGCTTAGCAACCGTCTTTTTCCCTCTGGATGGTGTAGTTGCTGAGTCTCAATTCATGAATGCTTCATGCATTATGTTACAGTTTTTAATTTGTTAGACAGATGTAATATTTTGTGTAAATCTGCCAGTCCCCAACTCCCAACCCCTACCCTGGTATCTGTATCTTCAGTTGCTGCCTGACTAGCAAAAATTCCACAGGCTAAGTTTTTCCAGGCATGCAAGGCTGGTAGGAAAAGCTGAATTAACCACCTGTCATCTGGCAATATGAGTGATTAACTTGCGGTTGATAAGCATACACTTTGCTGTTCTTCTGCATATGCAACTTTATATATTTATTTATTACATTTATATATTTCCCAATAGTTGAAGCTCTCTTGTTTGAAGTTATATTTTGTCAAAGTGAGATCCATTTCTAATCTCTTATGATAATTTGTGGCTCTGTGCTTAGCAGAAATATAAATGTTATGGTTTTTTTTAATAATCTAAAGAAATCTATTTTGTACAGTTTTATATTCTGACTTCCTATGACTCAGAAGCCTTGTCAGAAACAAAGTTGGAAAACTTAGTTCTGTGAAATCTTTGCAATTTTCAACTTACACGATTCTTGAACTTCCTGTTAAGGTGGACATTTGTGCAAGAAAAATGCTTCAAACTTATGAAATGTTACCATACTAATGAAATGACATATCACAGAGGCAGTAATGTTTGGTACCAAATCTGCTTTCATCCGCAAAATGGTATCTGTGCCAAAGGAAAAAAAAACTCTGTTTCTCTTACTGTATGAATTATTCTATTTTGTAATGTGACTGCTTTGGAGAAATAGTGTTTAAAACTGTTGTTTTGCATATACAGAATCCTTTGAGTTTTGGCGGAGAAAGAGAGACCCGAAGAGCTTTGTCTCATGGGGAAAGAGATAGTTTTGAGACTTTTTTCCTCAGACATTTATCTTGTCATGAAGGCAACTCTCTTGTGACCTGATATTTCTTGGCTTGTTGTTGCTATTTTGTACAGACCATGTGATTGTTCAAACTGCTGTACGGGTCAACGGCAGAAATATTGTGTGGGCCAATTTCACCATCTATGATTGCAAGAGAACTGGCAACATTTATCCAAAGACAGCGTAAGTGATCCCATGCTCTGTAAATAACAGTGGAGAAGAGATGGCAGGTTGCTGAGAAACAGTAGGTTGGCTATGAATTGCATCAGAATTTAGGGTTGGGAAATGATTTCCCTTTTTTGTTTTGTTTTAAGTAGGGGACAGATTGCATGTTAGGTAATCTAAAAGAAAGGAAGGTGCATTCATCACCACGAAGAAATTATTGTAGAGGGTTAGCTAAGCAAGAACCACTTTGTTATTGACTAGATATTTTGAATCCTGGGCAGGATTTGGCAAGGAAGCTTGTGCATCTGGCCAAGATTTGCAGAGAAAGGGTCCTAGAGCATTTCAGACCATCTGGACATTTTGATGGTTTTTGGCATTTTTTCCTTCCAAGTTTCTTAAATGTGATATAGCTTTGAAGTTAACCCTCAGAACATTAATTGTCAGGAGAGAAACAGTATGTATTTAAAGACATAGCTATTATACAATAGAAAAGAGCTTCTGGGGAAATTCTTTAGATCTCCTGGACCTGGGGGTTATGCAGCTTATACCCAATTATGAACAAGTGGGTATTAATCTATTAAGGCTGATCTTTCTCTAACGTGCTGCTCCCAGACATTATATCTCACATGCTTACATATCATGTTCTTTTACCAGGGAGTCTTTGGAGACAAGAATTAGGGACAACAGCAGTAAGTGTTGTCTGAGACGCACCGAAATGATATGCTTTGGTACAATGAGAGTCAGTGTAGGGTGGTAGTTAGAGTGCTGGACTGGGGACTGAGAAATCCAGGTTCTAGTCCCCACAAAGTCCTGAAGCTCACAGGGTAAGTTTGGGCATAAAAATGAAATGGAGAACTATGTCAGCCACCTTGGGGTCCTTACAAAGGGGAAAAAAGGCAGGATATACATGAGCAAGTGGATGAGGGAGTGCACTTGTGAAGGCGCAAAGATGGAAAGACAGAGGTTTCAGAGGCAGTGCTAGTGGGAAAGTTAAGTTGCAGAGGTGATGGTTTTTGGAAGGTTTTTTCACCTTTCAGAAGAACCTACCCTCACGTGCCACTATTGGAAGCATGCCGTAGTGTCCTTTCAGAGAGTACAAGCCAAGCAATTTTTTTGTGGCCTCAAGAATGCTATTGGTGTTCAGGTAGAGTTGGTATTCTGCATTTGATAAATACTGCTTGAATTCCATCCTATGATTGCTGATTCAAACTTTGCGCTAATAACTTGTTTTTTTTGTGTGATTTTTGTTTTTTACATTGAGTTTTTTCAGGTTCAGGTGGGTATACATGCCTCAGGGATAGATACTGAATCCAGAATGACCATATTGGGTTTTGTTTTGTTGTGTTTTTTAATGTCAGTTACTATGTCTAAGAGGGTTTAGCTCCAGAAAAAAGCAGTAAAAGTGAAAGAAAGGGGATGGAAAGCTGGAGCACCTTATTCTGAGTATGCTTAACTTCTGGGGTCTATTCACAGAAACACATAGGCATATTGTACATGTTCTTCCAAAACAACATCACGTCTTAATTTTTCTGAGTTGCATAAGAGCAAACATATATTCCATTGGTTTAACAGTCTCACAGTGCTAGCTCGATCCTGTAGAGCACTATAGAGAAATCTGAGCAGTAGGGTAATGCTTTGTCCTACCTTTGATGCTAGCAGCCCAGTCTTGCTCAGCAAAAATGGTACAACAAGCAGCTGTAGCTAGCTAATCACACATTATATGAACTGTAGAAGAAAAGGTTAATATTTTACCACCCAGATTAGCAGGTCAGGCATCATTGTCATAATGTTAGCACCAGCCTTAACAGGTCTTTATCAGTTAATAAAACAGGCAAGGGAAATAATAGTAATGGTGATGCCAGGCTTCTCTTCCAAGACCTGTTTATTTACTCCCCTTTGATAGCAAAGTTACATCTGTGCGCTTGTGAAAGCAGCATTTCCTGCAGAAGTTATTCCTGAACAAGGAGAATAAGGAAAGTAGCTCAAAAACAGATGTGATATGACCAGCTCTATAAGCGTGATTTACTAGAACAGCAGAGGAACAGCCTTTAGGCCTCCCTAGCCCTTCAAACCCCACGCAAGGAGAGTTAGACTTTTAAGATCTTTGGTGGATAGACCTGTTACAAGGCCACAGTGGACATTGCAGACCAGTGTGGGATATATAGCTCCAGAGAGAAGTCTCTAAACTACGTTGATGTGAATTAGTGAGTGTACTTGCCTTTATGCCTTTTATTTCAGATGTATCAGCTGCCTCTCAGCTAAATGGAAGTGTTACTGGTGCACTAGAAAATACACCTGCCTCTCCAATGTGACTGAATGTGAGGACTCAATACAGATGAATGTAAGCCATATCACATAGTACTGAATTCATATTACCTTTTCATTTGCATGAGACTGATTTGTATTCTCTTTCTTTGAGGGACTTTAGGAACATTGTGGAAATATCCACTCCGCATGCATTCAGGCAAGCAGGAAACTAAATGGACAATATGTTGCACAGATACACTGTGGCATGATTCTTTTGGTGATAAGGGTCATTGTATTTCTTTCTATAAGAGTGGCCCAGCTGGCTACAATAGAAAGCTTCAAAAATCTATCATTCCTAATCTAAGCTATGTGTTTAAATTTTCTCTGTATTATCTTAACCTTTTGTTTGGCCACATCTAATTTTCCCTCATCTTGTAGAGTGTCATGTTCTGTGTGTAAATATGAGCCACTGTAATACCAGTTATTTAAGCTTGCTCTCTGATGTTCATTGATGAAAAACTTTATGTATAGAAAAGTAATGTGATTTTAACACCGTGAGCCATTTATCTGATTTGAAACCAGTATTTGCCTTTATCCAAAGTTGATCTCCTGATAATAGCAAAATGTAACATAGTCTTACATTTTAACATCTAACTCAACACTAATTTTAAAAAATTGGTCTTTAGCAATCAGCTTACTGGGCATTTACATTTTAAATTTAGTACTTCTTTCAAGATGTAATTCTAAAAACCTGAACCCCTTTCACGTGTATTTAGTCTTCCCTTGATCATTTCCTTAGGAAGGACCTTGGTTTTTATGTCATATATTCTCTTCCTAGTTCACCTGTAGTTACCCTCCCCTCTCCATTTTTACTCTGCTTCAATAAAGTAAAAGTGCAACATATTCAGAAAGAATTATTTAGGCACAAATTCTCTAAGTAGTGCAGTGTAAATGTAGGAAAGTCAACAGGCACAATGTTGTTTTCTTTTAGGCACTTTGAGGAGCCTGTAGATTGCTCCCTAGTATACACTGCCAGAAACTTAGAAAGAATCTAAACTATTTTCTTGCCTTTAGAAGTAGATTTTGCAGCCTACCTCTGCTAACATGACATCTAAATGAATGCAAGCTCAACCCTCATTAGAGGTCAATTGATTTGCCTCAGAACCAGCATTGCCCACTGCTTATGCTACTGATTTTACTACCTATTTGCTTCCAAAGGTTTGATCTATCTGACAGGGCCTCTAACAACAGTCCAAATTCCATAATTTCATGTGTTTGCTCTCCATCCTGAAGAGCCACCTACTTTGGTATCTGCCATAGTGTTCCCTTCCACCAATGCAATTGCAGTTGCTGTAGTTCCATGGATGCCTACAATCTTATATCCTACTAACCAAAGCATGGTCTCCTCTGTAGCACTTCCACAACCTTTATGGAATTTGAACCTACCCTTGACACCCCTTTTGTGTTTGCCTTGCATTGCATTCCATGTCTTTGGTACCAAATGAGATATCTAAATATTAGGTTCAATGTCAGAGACAGAAATCAATGATTCTTTGATAATAGTTCCCACTTCTTTGATAATAGTTCCCACTCAAACTGAGCCTCAAGATGCAGTTGTCTGGGTACCACAAGCCAGTTATTCCATGTGAACTTCATTGAGTTTAACAGAATTGACTCGTCTTTATCACTGGTCTTTGTTATGGCTCCACCTTGTCTGTGATTGCAATCAAGATCGTGCTTCAGGAGGGAGATGCTTCATCAAGCAGATGCAACACTCTGTCTCTACTTCCTGAGAAGCCTTGCGACTACTATGTGAGAAAATGGGATTTATATTCTCAGGCACCTCAGTTCTCAGAGTTCCTTACAAATAACACTTACAGGCCTAGGTGGGAACTACAGATGGCTGCTGGGTCTATGTTAGAGCAGCATTCCTATTCAAGGCATCTCCTGTATACTTCCTCTCATCAATGTCCATCTTTCATGCTCTCGGCACCAGTGCTGTGTACAGTGATGGCATTGCCACTTTTGAGCACCATTTCAGCACCAGTCGCTGTCGCTATAGTGTTTTCCACTCAGCAAAAGTGTTCTGTTCTAGATTTTCCTGGCTAGTCTGATTTCTATTTTGACATTGTCAGCAGCCTCTCATTGTTCTCCCTGCACTAGTATCAACAAAGAACCAGCCCACAGTGCTTTGTTTGACTCAGGCTACTGCGATACTTTCAGCTTCCATAGAGGTCAAATGAAGGAATGTTCTTCAGCAAATTTGGAGAACATGTTGACTCATGCCTCTCAGGATTGAGCTCATGCTTCAAAATGTTCACCAGACTGCAGCATAAGTGATTCAAACCAATATATCCTAAAAAAGATCAATCCTATTCTGAGCAAATGCTTTTAGTGAATAATCCTGTGTTCCAGTATAAATCTTCTTTTAGAATTGTCTCCTTGTATGATCCCAGCACTATTAAAGTAGATCAAGAAATTCTGAGACTTTCCTTTGCCTTCTTCAGCATCCTGTTCCATAGAAATCATGTGTAGGGGAGAGGAACATGGCTGTCCTTTCCTGATGTAACAATCCTTCCCTGAATTTGCTGATAGGAAAACATGCACTGAGCAAGAAAGAAACAATTTACCTACGACCAATAAGGAGGACAGATGTGATGGCTATCCTTCCTCTCCATATTTCTAATTTTCCGGCATAGGTAGTACGGTACTGGCACTTTTTGTGGGGTAAATCTTTCTTATTCTTTGATAGTACAGTTTTGCTATATAATTGTACAGAAGCCATACTTCCACACCTGAGGAGAGCTCCAGGATTGTCAGTTCCAATTAGAGCTTTACAAAGAAAGTTATAATTGTAGGGAATCTCATAGGTGACTGTTTGCAAGAAGAAAACAACAACAACAGGCACCCTGTTACAGGTAAGCAAATGAAAAGGTTCCTATTACTGAGCCAGAATTTCTTCTGACTACTAGGAAGCATAATAGTTAAAATAAAATTATTGGCAGCTTAGAGAGCTGTAGTGCAACAAAGGAAATATGGGTTGCTTCAGTAATTTCACAAAAGCAAATTTGTATATCTGCATGGTTCCTTGGAAATCTGAAAGTCAGAGAAAGAAAATGTCTAGTTCATGAAAGCATAATTCATAAGGCATATGCTATACCTTTTGACTTAGCATTTCATACTAACTCTGTTAGGAAAAGCACAGCATTTTCAGTGGCCCCTGACCACAACTTCAGCTTTTCAGGCCTCTAGAATCCTTGCACTGTCAGCAAAAAGAGCAGCCTAAACTGTTAAGGATTAAACTAAGCAACACATCCAGGACATCCAGAAGGAATCATCTTCAAAAGGACTTCGCAAGGCTAATCCAGAAATCTCTGTACTCACTTTTTTATATACCTTTTAAATCTCCTGGACTTTATAGAAATTTTTACTGCAATGAGGTAGACTAAGAGAACTTGGTAAAAGCCCTGAAGATTTGCATTAATCCGAAATTCACAGAATGGCTTTAGTTAACAGATGTTGCTTCCCGGGGAAAAAAATAGAACAAGATTTCAAATGATGTTTCAAGGGCATGAACTGAATTTTAATAGGCAAGTATGTCAGCAGACACTGGCATTTGAAAGCACAAACAGAAACATGTGGATGCATTCATATATATAGTTATTTGCATCCACAGACACCTGGGAGCTGACTCCCACATTGCATTTTGTACTGGTGATATTATAACTTGTCTCCCAGCTGTAACTGGAATCCCGAGTTTGCTCCTACTAGCTGGCCTACTGCATGAGCTGAGTTCCACTCATGGATTCTGCTGACAGTAGAAGGGGGAAGGCAATTTTACAGTTTTCACCTTCATCTTATTTTGCCCTAAAAATCTACTTGAAAGGGTTAGAGGGCTCTGGGCATGTAAAGAAGATTGTTGAGCAGATGGAAGGGGGGACAGGCTAAAATTGCCTTTCTAACCTTCCAGTGGCAAGGTCTTCAACTGAATCTTGTTCCTGTCCTTATACCTTTAAGAGCTTGTCTTATATTCATGAATACTGAGCTAGGAGCCAAGCCAGTAGATAGAACTAACTGTAGATTGACAATAGTTAGAATAGTTCGTTACTGAGGCATGAAGTTCATCAAATGCATGATTCTACACTGAAGTAGACAGTCTGTTCTCAATTTATATTTCCATGGTAGTCATGTCATGAATGGAGCTGGCTGGAGCCGGAGGTCAGACTAGATGGCTCAGCATGCCCCTTCTGACTCACTCTGTTTATATGTTTCTATGTATATTTATTTATTTAACAGATCTACATGTCTTTTATGATATTCAAAAATATTCCTCAGTGCTTTACAAGAAAACCAAATGCATTAAAATGTGTTATTATATATGCTTAAGCAAATACTACATTTATTAAAACAGTACCATCACCTTAATTAGATACTTACTCCAGCAAAAACTGGGTAGAGACATGCAACTTTAATTAATACCTAAGGCAAGCTGCAGTTGGCAGCTTCCAAATACTGGTGGAAAGTCATTCCACCAAGGTGGGTGCCACCACCAAGTCGGCCAACTTCTGACACATATTTTGTGTCAGTAAGTTGAAATGTGGAATTCCCAGGGGCTGTTCACACATAGCACTAAGCAATTCTACCAAGTTACTTTTCTTCCTTTATTCACACATTTGTGAAATAACTGTTTCTGTGTACTTCCATCTTCCCTCCAAATGGCCGCATGCATCCCATCAGCCCCTGAGGCTGGAACTAACCCCAGCACACACCATGCCCGCCTGCATCACTGCCTCTCCCCCACTGGCCTACATGCTCCCCAGGCATATTCTCAGCCAGCTGCTGCTTTCTTCCTTCTGCTGCTCTGCGGAGCTCTCACCTATCCATTAGGGTGGCTTGGTGGCTCCACAGAGGCAACAAAGCAACGGTCAGGCAGGAGCGCCCCACACGAATGCCCATGTGATCACTGCTGCTGGAGGAACTTCCAGTCCTCCCTCGTGGCGCACGGTCCTGAATGCCTGGCAACCACACCACCCCCTGTCTGTCACCTGGCCAGTCTCCCGCCTACCAACCTCCTGGCTGGGTCGCCCCTTCACA